TGTGCATTATGCATTTATACTTGCTTTTTGGTTTTACGTGTAGCTCTGACCATGAAGATGAACTCACCAGCAGGGAAAATGCAAGTTCTGTTGGGAAAGGTTAAAATATTCTGCTCTTACAGCAGTTGAACATCATTTATATTTGACTCCTCCATGGCATTTATAGCTTTCATGAACATAACAGAGGTGTACCTGCGTTCATAGAGTCATAGAATGGGTTTGAAGGGACCTCAGGGATCATCAAGTTCCAACCCCTCATTTCTTGGGAGCTCATGAGGCTGCTTATAGCAAATGCGGTTCACTTTGGGGGATTGATCCATTTGGCACTAATGAGTGCCCCCAAAGGCCTTGTGATTGGAAGACAAAGAACAATTGCATACATGTTTCTCAGAGCCACCAAGTGACTGGGCACAACACAAATCCTTGGTAGCCAAACATATCCCTGATGGCCATAAAGGCCATAACTATGGCTACATGAAGTATTTTGTTCTGTTTGAGCCATCTGTAAAATGTTAGCTCTTGAATCATTCACATGTGGTAAATGTCTGATGTGGGAAAGGAAAAGCATTGTAATAACCTTTGCTTTATGGAGCTGTTTGGAAGATCTGCAAGTCCAGGAAGGGATCCTTCCATTTCCCCTAAAGCTGAGAATATCATAATAGAGGCAGAAGAGAGGATGTTCACAGCATCTCCTCTGTTGTAGGTAACGGGAACTTAACGTTTCCAGGAACTGCAAAAACATGGATCTTGGCTGATAATAGTAAGAATTAATATTTAACTCAACTTGGACATTGTGTTAATCATGTGTATATATTGCATTTTATATTCATCCATCACACTGTCACAGCAGTACCTAATAAATATTCTTTATGAGAGCAGGAAAACAGCTCTAGCTTGAAAGGAAGCAGAAATGTAGAATATGCCTTTATTTCAACTTTTGACTAAAACTATTGATAATCTTGGAGATATAATTACTTTTCTCTCAGTGAATAAATACCTGCTTAAATACCGAAACCATCGTTTGCATCAAATCATCAGCTACTGCAAAAATTGGTGTGACTTCAGTGACTTCTGTTAATGTGCACAGATTACTGTTATCTGACTCTCTGGGCCATTGAATGGAGTCCTGCTGAGCAGTGGGCAGCCAGCTGTGTGCTCCTCTGCTTCACTCGCCATCAGCAAAATTATCACCCATGTTCTGATTGCGGGACCTCGCTGCTGTTAACAGGGGAGGGGCAGGAAGAACCCAGCTCAACTCTCTGAATACAACAGGAGTCATGGCAGCAGCACCTAGCAAAAAAATATGCATATGATCTTTTGACATGTAAGTGGAGGAAAATTGCTGCTGAATCACTGGGAGGGAAGAAGTATGAGAGCTTAAGATGTCATTTTTACAGGCATAATTTTTACTCTAATGGCCTTTAACAGCATGTACAAGTCAGCGTAACGCTGTCAGTTGCAGCAGAGATAGGAGTACAGAAATGTAATGACTTGAGCTGCTTGGAAGAATTGTTTTCCTCCTGTAGTTAATTGGCAGTGTGTCATGGTTTTCTGTTTGCTGATTCAACAGCTGGAATGGTAGCTTGTGTCCTGGCTTTTCTCTCCATTTATTTGTTGAATTTCTCCTTCTGCTCTTTCCACAAATAAATGCAGCCTCTTGGGACTTGCAGTAACTTGCTATCAGGAATGTGACAGGAATCCTTTGATGTCCAAGACTGGGTAGCACTTTGCAGTAGGTGTCTCTCAGATAGTAAATAAACAGATATGCCAGGTAGATCTCCCTTGGGTCTAGAGTCAGAGGAGCAGTTGCACATAATGCCAAGAGAAGCACCATCTGTCTGAATAAGCAGTCAAAGATGTTACTGAAAATACCTGTTTGAATTCAAGGTCAATTTATTTCCTTGGGGAAGGAAACTGAAGAACATGGGAAATCCGAACTCAGTAATCTCTAGTAATAGAAGGTGAGGTTACACAAGCAGTGTAAGGAGGGTAATTATCCCAGGAAGAAAGAGATATTTATTTTTCCTTTGGAAATCAGTAAGAGATTACAACTTGACCATGCTGACCCTCGTTGTCTGATCGACTTGGAAAAGTTTGGGCTGAAGGGAGCTGTGGAAACCTCTGATCCATCCTTCCTCTTCCAACTCAAATCTGTCTTCATTTCTGTCAGGTTCCCCAGGGCCCTCTCCAGTTGAGTTTGGCATATCTTTGAGGCTGGGCAACCTTGCCTGTTCAAATCTGGACCCACTGAAGGCACACTAATTAAATCCTGTTATTGTAAATTATTTGGCTTCTCCGTGTGCTGCCAGAGGGATGTTAAGACCATGTCAGTGAACGGAGGAATTGGATTCATGGAATATTATAGATGTTTGCATTGCTCCACGAAGGGAACATTTCAGACAATGCCCTAGGAGAACATTTACTGTCAAATACTCCATTTCTTTGAAAGCAAAATTTTTCAGGGAAACAGACTGATTTTCATGCACGCATGAAACCAGAAGATGATGTATAAATGATGAAATTGAAATAGTTGAATGCTTGTTTCAACATTTTTCCCCCGTGACATTTTGAATCTTGCTTCAAAGAGATGTTAAAAATGTTTTCTTTTGACACTTTGATTTTATTTCAACCTTCTGTGTGGAATATATCTTCTAATTTTATCAAAATAAGGCAATTTAGCTGACTCCACATGACTGTTTTTAATTTCTTAAGAAAATTTGGCAATTTTTAGATTTTTCTGCCTGTTTAGTACAAACTTTTCAGTTCCCACTCAGTTCTTGACAAATTGTGCACCTCAAGGATGTCACTTTAATACACACAAGTAAGATGTACACGTGCGTGCTTTTATCTGTCTCTTATTTTAATGGGCTGCTGGCACTTAGAATTTCTCAAAGGCTACTCTTCAGGTTTGTGGTTCAGTTTTAGTGTATGTGTGCTAATTTAATGTCTCTGTTTTATGATTCTACTGACCTCATAAAACAGACTTCTATATGCTACATACACATTATGTCTTGGTGTGAAGCCTGACTTTAAAAAAATCTCTTTGACAGAGATCATTAATTCCTTTTATAAATAGTTGTTGAAATTACGGCCACTTCTTCAATGCAGAACTGATATCCTCTGGGTACACAGATGGGCACCACATTGCAGAATGCCTGTGCTTCCAAAATCTGGAAGGTACATCTACTAGACAATGACTATTAATTCATTGGGAAAATACACCCATCAGGCACGGAGCTGAATTGTACATGGTGTTGTTTAGAAGAGCTGAGAATTAATGGGTGCTTGCGATGTCTCCAATCTACTGGTTGTGCCAGGTGAAAATGCCAGGAGCTCAGCAATAGGGGAAGCAGAGGGGCATTTCTGCTGGAACCCGTGTTGGCACAGCGGGGCTGGGCTGGGCACTGCTCTCTCACCTCACAGCAATCCCTGTTTTCTGCAGCAGAACAGCTGTGTTCTGGAGCCAAGCCAGTAGTTTCCAACCAGCTGTAGAGGCATCTTCTCAGATCTGAACTGCAGGATCCCTGGAGACATTTAAAAGGAAGTTGAAAATGTTCTCAGTTACACGTTTAGAGTGAGACTCGTTTGGGTTGTAAAGAGATTTTAATGCTGCTTTATGAGCTGAATTATAAAACATTTTGCAAAAGATGTTCTTTTATAAATATCCTCGTGACATCTGTATGGTCAAGAAGAAAATGTCTGATGTTCTGTAGCTGAGTGTTTACATTACTTCCTATCAATCATCTGGAGCAAGAGAGAGTTCAAGGACATATCTAAACTCAGTTTTTGGGTACAGAGCCTTTGCAAATCGACTGTCTTCATAGTCTACCCTGTGAGATTTCTGTTGTGATCTTCCTCACTCTGTCATGTTCAAATCAGAGAAACTACAAGACTGCTTGAGCAAGGAGCAGGGGATTGAAAGTCATGGCCATTTCTTGGCTCTGCTCTGATCTCCAGTGTGAACATGGGTAAGCCTCTGGCCTCCAGCTCCCTATCTCAGCAGTGGAAACATCAGTGCTGCCCTGTAGTGTGTGCTGAAATCTAAAACTTTAGAATTTGAAAATATTTCATTAGGAACCTAAGACAGGTCAGGACCTCCAGAAATTTGCAATAGGATGATATGGTTGCTGATCTGCTTGTGGGCATGTTTAACTTCGGAGATGGATTTTCTGGTTTTAGGCTTGATATACCTCTTGATGTAGAAATGTGATAACAGGTGGATAGCACAGGAAATAACGGGCAAGTTGATTTTTTATCTCAGAAGATATTTTCTGTTCAAAGCTGGGTGTTATTTTAAGAACATGAATCTATTGTGCTGTGAATGTGTTAGAATGAGTGGGAGAAGAAAGGTGAGCGCAGGGCACTTCTCCTCAATGGGCAAAAGCCTGGAAGCCCTGGGGAGAGCTGTCCTTGTGGCTGGAGGTTAAGGCCAGGGAATGGGGAGGAAGAAAAACAATTCAGTTAGGGAAAAGCACCCTTAATTTTACTGACATTTTCACAACTGTGAAACACTTTGTTAATTTGCAGTAACAACCTTTGCAGCTTTGCCAAAATACATGTCCGTTGCCATTAGAAAAACTCCAACATTTACTCAGTTATGGCTAAATAGAAGGAAGGTGAACTCATTCATTGTGGTAAGGAGGGTGCAGACACTGTGACTAAGCGCAGGAGGAGGGGAGGCAACATGGGAGGTCACTCCTTTGCTCAGCGACTTCAGACAAACCACAGCATTAATCTGTGCCTCATTTTCCCTAGCTGGAAAATAGAAAATATTGGCTTTTCCCTGCAAGGGACTCTGAAACCTTATTTACTCATGCTGTGAAAATAGTCCGAGCTGCTTGTCTGAGAGGAAGTCAATAGAAATAGGCTATAGAATCATTTTTTACCACTGTTTCAAAAAGGCCGAAGAAACAAGCTGAAGAAAAGGCTTTACAGTTTTATTTTTAGAAGACCTGAAGGTCTCCTTCAGTGATGGTTGTTCTCTTGCTTTCTGCTTGCAGGTACTATGCTATCTGTTGCCAGCCACTGGTGTACAGGAACAAGATGACTCCACTGCGTATTGCTGTAATGCTTGGAGGCTGCTGGGTAATCCCGACATTTATTTCTTTCCTCCCTATCATGCAAGGCTGGAATAGCATTGGCATCATTGATTTGGTGAGTAGCTTAGGAGACATACCATCTTGGTACTAAATATATTCCCTGCTGTATAAAGAAGGCAAGGAGGGCTAAAGGAGGAACCCCTTGTTACTGATTCAGAGGGCCTGCTGAATTCCTGGAAGGTGTCTTTATGGGCATTTGCAAGGCTGCTGCCCACTGCCCTGTATCTGATGCAGCCCCTTGTCTTCTGAGGCCACAGCAGCCCAGACCCACACCACCTATCTGGTCCTTTTCTAGTGCATTTGAGCAGATTTTCTAGTGCATTTGAGCATTCTTAGTGTAAGACATATTCTGATGTGCAGGTCAGTGAGCACTGCAGAAAATGCACAGCATCAAGTGAAGTTATTCCTCTTTGCAATGTCTGAACTGGGCTGTCAGGCTGATTTTCAATAGCCAGGTTGAGGCGTCTCTGGGATGCTGGAGCTGCATCATGGGAAGGTCCTATAGGCCTTGGGGCCAGCAAAGCCCACAGTGTGAGCACAGGCAGGAGGGGCAACAGCAGCTAAGTGAAGTACTGCATATAGGAGTGGGAAAGGAGGAGAGAGAATAGCAAAGTGGTGGTGGAGCTTCCTAGCAAACAGCCTGCTGGTATCAGAGGAGCAGCACTGAATTTCTTCCTTTCTTTGTCCTTCTTCCCCCGGCCCCAGATTCAGCAAAGGCAGTTCAACAAGGCTTCCAACTCCACGTACTGCATATTCATGGTCAACAAGCCATACGCCATTACCTGCTCTGTGGTGGCCTTTTACTTTCCCTTCCTGCTGATGGTGCTGGCCTACTATCGCATCTACGTCACTGCCCGGGAGCACGCCCGGCAGATCCGGGTGCTGCAGCGCGCAGGGACCCCTGCTGACAGCCGGCACCAGCCTGACCAGCACAGCACGCATCGCATGAAGACCGAGACCAAAGCTGCCAAGACCCTGTGCATCATCATGGGGTGCTTCTGCCTGTGCTGGGCCCCCTTCTTTGTCACAAACATAGTAGACCCTTTCATAAACTATACGGTGCCGGGGAAGTTGTGGACAGCTTTCCTGTGGCTGGGCTACATCAATTCAGGGTTGAACCCCTTCCTCTATGCCTTCCTGAACAAGTCTTTCAGACGTGCCTTCCTCATCATCCTGTGCTGTGGTGATGAGCGATACCGAAGGCCTTCCATCCTGGGGCAGACAGTCCCCTGTTCCACCACCACAATAAATGGATCAACTCATGTGCTAAGGTGAGTGTTTGTTCCTCAGCTGCTGCAAAATACCTTGAGTCACTGGAAAGAGGGTTTCTCGTGAGTTTTCTTAAAGGATCATTTTTGCATTGCATTTGAAATAGCTGATGAATTAACTATTCAAAAAGGAGGGAGCAGGAGAAGTGCACAGAAATCCTTAGGGTGCTCCAATGACCAGTGGTTTGTACGTACCCAGATGCGTACTGGAGTGCACAGTTTCTCCAGAGGCGTGTTCAGGAAACAGTTGGGAGGAGGCAGTAGTTGTGCGTGCATGCTGGAAGTCCTATTGCTTTTTCTGAGAAGAGCAGTTTGACTGCAGGGGAAGCACCTTGCAGGAGGCTGCCTTCCCTTTGCTCTGTTTGCCTCTTCTCCTCCGATTCTGCTTTTGTAGACCCGCTGGCCAGTGCTACTGCTCCTGAAGTGATGAAAGGCAAAGGATGGCACTGTGGGATCCCAGGGAATGTGAATCCCCCACACCTCACACATCCATCCTTTGTGTCACACCACAGTGCTTTTTGCAAGAGGACTGGGTGTGGTTGGGATGGCAGCAGGCTCAGTGCTGGGACACATCCTGTGCTCCCTTCTCCTCACTGAGCAGCGGAGGCAGAGCACTGGGGAAGACAGGGAGGAGCAGTTATCTCCATAATATCAGAATGAGCTGTATTCTCTGAAAGAAAATCCGCAGGTGTTTCTGTGCAATTGCCTGAGAGCTGTTTGGTTCTGGCGGTAGATGAATTCATGGCTCCATACTTGCAGATAAGGGCTCAGTAGCAGAGTTTGTGTTCAGAGCTGAACCCGTTTGGAGAAAAAATCATACTTCCAGCTGTGCCTGATCTGTTGGTTTGTTTCTGATTTGCACCCAGCTCCCTTCTGTAAGTTTTGGAAACAGTCCTCGGCTCTGTAATGGATGGGAGACAGGGCAGGGCTTGCCACAACCCCAAGACAGGCTTCTCATGCTTTTTACATCATGAAGGACGTTAAAAACTATATATCTTCTGCTGAGTAAAAGCTGTTCAAGGGCTAAGGTCCCAGAGCCCTCTGCCTGTGATGGATTCAGGGCACAGTGCCATGATGAGCCTGTGTCAGTGCTGTGTGGTTGAGGCAGATGCTGCTCAGCTGCAGAAGGAGGCCGGGAGCTGCAGAAACAAACACTGGGAATGTGGCTGTGAGCAGGGAAGAGAAATGGGTTTGCTTTGGCCACCATTGGTGGGGGGCTTCATGCTGTGACAGCCTCCCCCGGTCATGACCTCAAACCTGCCAGAGTTCAAGGAGTGTTTAGACGATACTCAGAAATATGGTTTGAGTTTTAGGTAGTCCTACGTGCAGCCAGGAGTTGGATTTGATCCTTGTGGGTCCTTCCAATTCAGGAAATTCTGAGGTTCTATGATTCTAATGTTTACCTGGCCAGCCCACTGGCCTAAGCACAGAGAAAGAGCAAGTGGTGTCTGTTTGGGCTAGTAAGTGCTGCAGCAAGGTACTTCTTGTGAAAGTACTCCCATTTCCAGATCCCCCCTCATGCTTGTACTGTGTGGCTCCTGCAAACAAGACTTCCATGGAAATGAATAACAAGTTTGAGGACTGTCTGACCAGCTGCCCTGCCTTGCTGCAATCCTGTCAATGTGATAAACACTATAAAATGCTCCATGAGAACTAACTCTGCATAGGGCATCTTGTTCACTTCTAGCTTGTATGAGTTATTATATAGATAAGAGTGGGTCCCCCTCTCTTCAGCTCACTGCAAGGCACAAGCTGCATTCCCTCCTGCCTTTCTGTGTCCATCCTCTTGCAGAGAAAGGCACCGAGGGCTGCTGAGCAGGACTGCTCTGCACATCAGCACTTCAGACACAATTATTTTCTATTTTTCTTGGCTTTGTAGCAGATGAGAAAAGCATGCCTTCCTCTCCTGTGCGGATTATGCACTGCTTGTGACGGAGGCGTAGGGATTAAAGGAAAGGTGACTAATTGTAGTTTCTGGACTTAAATCTCACTTGTGGAATTTTGAATTCTTTGGTGCTTCTCTATTAAATGCAGAACAGTTTGGACTCAGCTCAGATGGAAGGCATTGTCTCAAGATGTAATGCACATTTGCTTTATAGCTTGGAAATCCTGTGCCCAGCAGCTGAAATACTGAAGCCTTCCTAAAGCCTGTGGACTGGTCTCATACTAACCCAGCCGTGAAGAAACCTGGGGGCTGGGCTTGGTTCACACTCTTCCAACCTCAGAGTTTTGTCCTGATTAAGAGCTTCTGCACATGGGGGGGAAGTTGTGCAAGAGGGATGCTGCAGTTGTGTCTTGTACCCCGGCAGGAAGAGCATGGAGAGCCCTTGTGCTGAATGCAGGGCAGGCTTCCACCCCTATAGGTCTGCAGTTCTTGTATTAAGCTGACTGAATCTCTCAGCCTTAAAGGGATTCAGGAGTGGTGGAACAGGACTCGGACTTCTAACCCCTCCCCACATCCAATCTTGATAATATTCGGACTGTCCTTCTGCTCTGTCTGTCCAAACTGTTCTTCCTTTGCCTACAACCAACTCACTGGTGCTTCTCCAACAGCATGCTTGTCCTCATTAAAGGTAAAATTCAGGCTCTCACTCTTGGATGTGTTTGACCTGTGAACGCCTTCCAGAGAAGAAGCAATTTCTTCATTTTTTTTCCTGTTAGAGCCAAAATATTCCAGTGTTCCCATTTTGGGATTTTTCATGGTTGTATTAGGAATGGGGAGGAAAAAAAAACTGGAGGAGCAGAGCACAATAAACAGCAGTGGTGAGAAGAGGCAGACCTCCTCAGCACACACAGGCTGACAGGCCAGTTGGGAGGCAGTCCTCATCCTTTCTTCAATTTATTTTTCAGTTGATGTGTGAAGACTGTGGTGCTCTGGACAAGCAGACAGGGAGAGGCTTTGCACAGCACAGCTGGGGCCTGTTGCCAGTCTGGTGGGATGGGAAGGCTGCATGCAGCTCAACTGCCTCACCACAATGGGAGGGAAACCCCAGCAGCCACCCTCTTTTCTCCCTAAACCCTGAAGCAAAAGATGGGAAAAGGATTTCCCATCACTAATTTTGCTCTTGAACTCTCCATCAAGTAATGGAGATACCCATTCTTTGAGCAGGGTAAGGTGTGGTGCAAAGTGTGGTTGGAAGATATCATGAAGAGGCAGGAGACAAAATTAGTTAGAGCTGGATCTGTCTGTACAATGGGCAAGAGTGGTAGAATTAAATATTCTTTCAGCTGTGAAAGAACAATTTTGCTTTCCTGTTTTTAAAACTTGCTTTCTGCAAGCATGGGAACTGCCAGAACACATATTTTTGGCCCTTTGTATCCACCTATTTCACTTCTGACGTGTACTATCAATTGCAATTTAGGCAGGACACATGCAAATAGTAAATTGAAATCTGCAGGTGTGGATGCTATCTGAAATTCATACCCTATTCAATTTTCAAAGGCTGAGATTGCAACTCACATGTCATATGCAGAGGTTTGTTTCTTTGGTTGCAGCACAAATTGTGTAATATATAAATATGAATTTCTATTTATCTATGAGTATAAATATACAAATGAATTCGCAATTCACAGTTCTAAGAGACTATGGTGTGAAATATTATGCATGGAAAGGATTTGGGGATCTTTCTGACTAACAAGTGGATAGGAGAATTTACAATGAGCTCTCAGCTAACATAATGCAAAAATAAGCAGAATAATTCACAGCAGTACGTACAGCTTTCTGGACAACTCCAACATGTATTCAGGAGTCCTGTGCACCACCAGAGTGAAAACAAAATGCCATAATTATCTGAAAAATGCTGCTTCCTTTTTAAAACATATTGCTTGCATATCTTTTGTTATGCATAGACATTTGGTTAAAGCAAAGCAACAAGCTCATACCTTTGGGAATCATTCAACTCTTGTACTGCACAAGGGGATTGGAACCCAGCTCAGCAGTGCTTAAATTCTTGGATAAATCAAGTTCTGAAATTTTGCCACAGCAGAGAAGGTGAAGTAGAATTGAGCGATGATCAGAGCAGACAGACTCTGGAACATCTGGGTCAAGTACATCCCTTTGGTGTATTCCTTATTTCTGTCCAGAGGTGCAATGTTCAGCACAGAGCAGTGTTAATCTCCTCTGGGAGAGCTATAGCAAGTAGTTTATTTACTCATTTTCCAGCACAAAGAGGCCTTCTCAGACAGGACTGATGCCAATGTCATTTCTCCAAACTAAAGAACATCCTGATTTTCCTTTTAGAAGAGCCAAGAGAAACAAGACAGGGGGGAAGAAAAGCAGCGTGCAACTTTGGGGACTGGAATTTCATTGTCCTCATAAATACAGAATTAAATAAATAACCCAGTCAACCCACACTCATGTCAGCACTCTGAAGGTGCACAAGGCACGGGGAGAAGAGCACAGTAAATCACTGTGTGCAGCCAGCACTCAGTGCTGGAGCGTGGCTGCTGAGCCTTATTGGCCCCTGTGGGGAATGTGAGTGATGGAGTCGGTAAATCTGAACAGGCACTGCAATGCTTGGCTCCTCATTTTGTGGAAGTGTAGCAGCTCCCTGGCTTGCAGCTGCACTGGAATAAAAAGAAGTCCTCCCTGGCTGCAAGGAAGCACGGCTCATATGTGCTGTGCCCACCTTGCTCCTGCCCCACTGGGTCTGATGCAGGGCAGGTGTGTGCAGGGATTGTAGCACTGTGCTGCTGCTTCCAGTCTGTAAGGTGTTGGCAGGAGCTCTTCCTCCCTCCTCTCCCTTTCCTGGCCAGTAGCAGAGGAGACTCTGGTACAGAGGCTTCGGTGTTCAGGAGGGTGGATGGGCTGACTGTGTTGCATTACTTCCAGAAGCAATGAAACAATGAATGAATTAAAGAAGCTGCCCTGAATAGTCATATAGGTCCTGGAGCCCTCCTGCCTGCCGGGCTGCCAGTACAGAGTCTCCACTGCTGTGCTTACAGGTAAAATCCTGCTGTCCTGCCTCCTCCTGTTCCTCTTATCTCTTATCCTTCCTTAGGCATTAAGGCAGCCACAGAGACCACGGAATTCCCGAGACAGAGCAAAGCAGTCAGGGTGGGACAGCCCTGTGCTGCGGCTGCTCCCGCACAGCCCAAGCAGCTGCACGCTGGGCCCCGGCACCCGGACAGCCTGCAGACCACAGCCTGGAAGCACAGCCCCTCCTCGCTGCTGGCCCACCTCTTCCCTGGCTCAAGGCCATCCCTTGATGGGAAAAAGGTGTGTTGAGCTTCAGCCAGGAACGCACGCCTTCACTACCACCTTCCCCCATGGAACAGCGGTGGCTGCTGGAGGAAGGAGAGACGGCGGTGACAAGGGGCATGGATGGGATGAGCTCACTGCCTGCCCTGATGAAACCCACAGAAAGCATACAGGAACAGCAGCGGGAGCCTGGGCCCAGCTCAGCCACTGCTACGCCACGCTAAATATTTCTTTTTGCTCTCCTTCTCCCTCGCACACGTACCCATGCTCATGGAAACAACTCATTGCATAAGCCAGCAGGAAGGGGTTTCTGGAGAGGAGGTGTTCACGGGCTGCTTCAGGAGGTGCTGCATCCTGGCTCTGTTTGTGCTGCTGGAAGCAGGAGGGTGCTACAGGAACCTGGGGTCCGTCTCCTGGCTGCAGCAGCTGGCCATGGCCAAGGAAGGGCCTTGCTACTGCTATGAGAGAAAAAAAGATAGTTCATTTCAATACATGCACAACTTTGCTTAGACAAACTTGCAAAGTCTGGCCCAGAGTTTGAGAGGTCTTCCAGTAGTAGTGCATGCAGCTTCAAAGCCAACTCCTTGCATTGGCAGGGCACACTGAGCTCCATCTAATTAGGTGAATGGGTAAAACCCGCTATTATTGGTTCTTC